CTCATTCGAAAAGTTGAGTTACATAAAGTTTGAGATCTTAAAGATTCTGAGAATAATGAAATTGATGAATTGTGGTCTTGTCTAAGTCATAACGAGTTTTAAAAGTAATAAGTTATTGTTATTAAGACTTCGTTACCAGAGCAATCAAAAAGCTTTATTGTCAGAGTATTAAGAGCATTCAGATTGGTTATCCAGGTAGCAGATTAATGCATTGATGACTCCATAACGCAATTATTAAGAATCGAACTACTAAGCCTTTTAGTTGTTATTCAATATGGACCCATTCTAAATCACCAAATTTCAGAGAAATAACCATGTGACTCCTCACAACTGTAAGCATTTGCTTATAAATGCTTGAATGCTAAAAATAAGTTTGCAACATTTTTATTACATTATATTAATAATCAACCGACTTGTTCTACTTACTTTTTTGTTTTTTTAGGATGCCGCAAGCTGATAAAGTTAACCAATCAAAATTTACAAAACAAGCTGAGACAAAAGAAGTGAAAAGTTGAGATAATTTCGAAAGGTCTACAAGAATTATTATAAATAATGACCATTAAAAATCTCCTGAGTGACGTCTTTCCTTTCAGCATGTATAATTTTGGAGATTAGAATATGGTTGGCAAGAAAAGTTCCAAAACTGCGCATTTTTTGCATGCAAGCTAAGAAAATTTTAGTTCTCAAACAAAATCTTTCTTCATTTTCAATATGAAGATTTACATTATGCGACAATATCAATTTTGGAAAGGATTTGCATAGTATATAAGACGATCTGCACGCTCCCTTCAAATGAGAAAAAAAAAAATTCACCCCAAACTCTTTAAGATATCGATAGATTCTTAGTTACGTCACACAGAGAAACAGAAGCCATATGGTGATTATGGTAAAATAAATTTAGCTTTCTGCTCTCCATGCTCCTCGCATGAGATTTATTTCAACGATAAACTTGATTTTTTTTACTCATTCTAAATGTGTGTCTTTAGTGCTGTGCTGTGCTTAAAGTTGAAAAATATTTAAGGGTAAAGTTTTACTTTGAAATTGTTTTTGGGAAGTAAATCGATGACTTATAGAATTATTTACCATATCGGTAAATACTGATATCGATTTTTAGATAATATATTTCCAACATAATAGCATCAAGAATGCCTTTTCAGCTTACAATAATGACAATTTAGGCAATACAAAATCGAAATTCTGTTTGCTTCTTGGGATTTGATCGCATAAGTTGTGAAGGCACTTTTGTTGCTGGGGATATATTGTGATGACGCAATTCATACTGGTTATGGATTTGAAATAGTTCATATAAATTCGCAGAAGCGTTCATGACCTAAATTCGAATTTTAAACCAAAAAAAAAAGTTTAATCAAAAATTCTCTGTCAGTAAAAGCAATTTTGTCACCACATTTCGTCTCATAAAAGTCATCAACGGCATAAAAAATCGCCTCATTTTTCCAACAATCGCAAAAGATTTAAGACATGAGCTTTTTTTCTGAAGACGAAGCTTAGAAATTTGATTTTCTTTTCTCTATTGAAGCAAAATGAAACGAGAAACTTTTTCTGAATTTTTTATGAATGTCACATATGGAGTACAGCTCTGATTATTGTCAGAGATTTTTGTTGTTCATCGAAGTAATGAGAATGTTATAAGCAAAGAAGAAAATGATGCTGTTGTATAAATAGTAAATGGAATGAATGTTAGATTGACACTACTTACCATGGATTGTGCTTAAATGAATGACGAAAAGGGAAGAAAAAGTTCTCTTCTTTATAGCTGTAAGAGATTGTTTATCCATGTCTCATGATTTATACATTCACGTGTTTGCATTTTATTTGGAAGATTTGATGTGAAATGAACAATGATGGTCTTTTACATTCGTCATGTGCTGTATTTTATCAAGAGATTACGTCTAGATGAAGTTTTTTGAATTGAAGAGATGATTGTCATGAAGATTGCAATTTGACAATGAAATGACAAAAAGATTTGGAAGATGAATGACTTTTTACATCTTTGTGTGATTTAAAATTGACTTGAGCGATTGACATTGCTTTGATTTAATGTAAGATAGTCAACAATTTAAGAATAAAATGCGTGAAATACTAAACTTGATAAATTCTTATTTATAAAACAAAAGCCAAGCAGTGTTGAAATCTGCCTATACTTCTGCAAAAAGACACTTTCTATATGAAGAATTTATCTTCTGCAGATTTCTGTCTGCATGTAGATTAAAAAAAGTATCTACATGAAGAATCTATCTTCCAAAGAATTCTGTCTTCCACAGATTTCTGTCTGCATGTAGATTAAAAAAAGTATCTACATGAAGAATCTATCTTCCAAAGAATTCTGTCTTCCACAGATTTCTGTCTGCATGTAGATCAAAAAAAGTGTCTACATGCAGATTCTGTCTTCCAAAGATTTCTGTCTTCCACAGGGTTTGTCTGCATGCAGATTATTATATTTTGATATTTAATAAATATTTTTAAATCAAAAACACATAGAAAGATTTAGGATACAAAATAAAACAACGAAATTAATTTTGCAAATTAATGTGGATTCTTCTTCACTTCCTTTGACAAGTCTCTTTTATAAAAAAAATGATCAAACATTTACGGGCTTTTAAAATTAATAAAAAGGGTTTTTTCATTTAGATTTTCTCGTTGTCAGAAAAATGCTTAATAATAGCATAAATACACTGAGTTACGCTTTTTATTAAGTATTCGATACGCCAATAAAACGATAGAACTGAGAAAACGTAGAAGGCTACGATGTCTGGTTGCTTCTATCTCAATCAATAAGCTACCTTTTTGAAATAAGTTTCAAAAATGCACTAAAAATGGATATTTTCAGTAACATACACACAATTTATCCACATTCACAATATCACCATTCGCCACATTTGTCATCAGATTCATGAAAAGAAAAAAATATTTTGAATTAGTGTTTTATATTTGATTAAAATTAAGCTTCTCTGTCAGTCCAATTCGTACATTTTTACGAACTCTGTAAACCGTTACCTACAAATTGTAAGAAAATATTTGCATTTCGAGGTAATCGGGAAAATTTGAAAATGATTTGACCGTTAAAAGTACTTATTATTGTTAATTTATTGTAAAACCACACTTTTTCATTAAAATATAATAATCTGCATGCAGACAAACCCTGTGGAAGACAGAAATCTTTGGAAGACAGAATCTGCATGTAGACACTTTTTTTTAATCTACATGCAGACAGAAATCTGTGGAAGACAAAATTCTTTGGAAGACAGATTCTGCATGTAGACACTTTTTTTAATCTGAAGATAAATTCTTCATAAAGATAAAATCTTTTACGGCCTGTTTCACTAAAGTGGATTATCCTCGATTTTGGATTATCCACTTCAGTTTTTTGAAAATATCGCCAGACGCTTAAGGTTATTAAGAGATCTAATGTGTGATCTAGCAAGAGTACTTTGCTCCTTAAATTAACATATACTTAGAATTTTTATATCTTCATTAGTTTGAGAATTATAGCAAAAATCGAAGTTAATCTACTAGATTTGGCTAGAAAATTGAATAATTAATACTTCTTACCAACAAGTAAAAGTTTTTAGTATACAGAAATTTCAGACATAGTTCACTCTATTAAAATCCAAAATTAGAAATACCACACCTCCCATAAAGTTTAAGACATTTCAAAAAAACTGAAGTGGATAATCCGAAATCGAGGATAATCCACTTTAGTGAAACAGGCCGTTAAAGATTCTGTAGTCTTTGTCTATGGAAGACGTCTGTCATTTCAACACTGAAGCCAAGTATTTAAGGAAATTTTAAGATCCAGGATTGTTCAGACAATAGAATTCTTTTTATTTGAAAGTATCGGAAATATTTTGGTACGTAAATATATTGTGCTTCAGGTAAGTCTTTTCAAAATCTTCCAAGAAAATAAAATGGCTCAGAAAATCTTTACTGAAAATTCTGTGCTATAAAGTCATGTTTTTTAATGGGAAGAAAATTGTTTTACTCACAAATCCATCTGAGTAAAAGTAAGTCTTGAAGCTAGAAAGTCGGCAGGTGGTTACAATTCTATTGAAAAATTTATCATGTGTATTTTCATCCTGATTCTTATACGTTGCATTCTTATATTATTTTTTTTGCTTGAAAATCTGCTGATTTTTATTAAAAAGAGGCAATAAGAAAAAGTTTGAAATTTCTTGAGTATTTTCATTAAAGCGCATTTTATGGTCATGCAAGTTTTTTGGATTTAAACTAGAAAATACACCACAGATTCTGTTTTAATGCAAATCGCAGTGCCTCCAACTCAAAACACTGAGCCCTTCCCATGCTTTTTAATGGTGATTTAAATGTGTATTGCGGTATATTGAAGTGATTTGAGTCAATGAGGTTCAGATGATAGTAAATTTTTGATTTTACAGAAGTGGCCAACTTTTTTTGAGGCTCGGCACACATGACAAATGTTCAACAAACCTCACTTCCTCTTCCTATCCTTGCTAATACACAACTGACATTTCCATCTTTAAATAACTCACAAAATTTCTTTTACAGCAAAAATGAATCATTGAAGGACAGAACATTCATCATCAAATAGTTAAAAATCTCCAGAAACATTAATCTTGTTCCACAGGATGTCACTTTATATCATTCAACATTCACTACTGATTTTTGTTTCATACCATTCCATGCCATTTCTACCTAAAGATATTTTTTGGTTTTTATTTTATTTTTTTTCATCTCCTATTTCATTCATATCCCAATAATCCATGCCAATTTCCATTTTCAACAAATTGCTATGATGCTCAATTCCGGAAATAATAAAATGAATTCAAACCAATGGCAATTTTGTGGAAGGAAATAATCGCATTAAAATTTCAATCATGCCAATTAACTTCATTGTCCAACTAATAAAGCTGCCTTTTATTGTCGAGATAGGAAAAGTTTTGTGTCATTTTCGTACCATTTTGTAACAAGCCAAAAAAAAGCATTTCTTTTAACATATTTGTTTTATTTTCATCATCTTATTTTAACATTCTTTTTACATTGTTTTCAAAAGGAATTTAGAACTTGATATTGCAAAGACAAATACCTTGAATGCCTCGAGAGATTAATCTAAAAGAAGATTCAACAATAACAATTTTGTCATCATTGTCGTTACGATTATTGAGTAGGTGAGTGCTTTTGGTGACGGAAGTTTTGTTGTGCTGTTGAGTACGATTGTTTCCATGGCTTTGACTATGAAAAGAAGAAAATTATAAAAAAAAATTTTTGTGTGGTTGAAAAAACGTGGAAGTTTAAGATGCTTTAGTGTGGGTTAAGGTTGTAAAGTCGGAAGTGGTTTTGAAAATTGGACAAATAATTTATGTCGGCATTTTGAATATCTTCGTGGGCAAGGCTGTCTTGTGACTCGGATCGACATGGTGTTGCCTTCACACGAGTCATAAGGCGACCATGTGATCAGAGAAATTCAACAAGGGCTAGCCTTAATCGCCACCATGTCAACATAAACCTTTTGTCGCTCAAGATATGAACAAGGTGACAATTAGGTCCATAAAAGCCGAAAAACCATTTCTTTTTCCCTGAGTAGCATGGACCCCAACCATAAAATGATCTACAGTTAAACCTTAAAAGCTAAGCTTTATTCACCAAAATTGTCGTGACCTAATCGACTAAACGCACCCCTAATCGGTGCTTATATCTTCAGTATATTTCTTTCTCTTTCTTTGATCTGATGCCTATCATGATGTCGATCCATCAAGTCAAAGTGAATACGACACATGATGAATTGATATCACAAGATAATTCACTGAAAAGTAATCAAACAAAAAAAGATTTTTTCTTATATTCGGTGAATTTTCCTTGGGGACGAATTGAGGTAAAAAGTTTAACGCATCATCCAATGTCTTAACTGCACGAGGATATATTTATGAAAATAACACCAAGTGCTTTTTTTGAGGAAATAATTTGATTGTTTTATAACTTTTTTTGAGGACTTAAAAAGTTTTAAAAGAACAGAATTAAGGAAAAAAAATTTCTTCTTTAGCTTTTCAATTTTTATGATCAAAGAGAAAATGCGCTGAAAATAAAACATTTCAAATATGACTTGTAGAAGCTCTCTTACACTTTCTCGCTTTATTTTCCCTTAACGACGATAATGTGGTTCGTCCTACGTATTTTTAGAAATTTAATTTGAAATGGAATTCCATTTACGTTTTTTTCTTTCTTTCTATTCTTTGACTTTATTTTTATTTGGTGATAGTCGGATCTTTTTGAAATGAAATTTCCTTTGGTTTTGATCGTGATAAGAAAGAAGAAATGTCAAATGAATGAGTTTAGAATTTGTTGTGGTTTTTAAATTTGAACGCTTTGCTTATTAACAGAATAATTGTCGAATAAGACAAATCTAAATCATTTTACACACTTTATGCTACTCTACTATCAAGTATTGACTAACATAAAGTCACGAACTGTAAAAGTTTGTCGAATAGAAATTTAAATGTGATAAAAATTATTTTTCACGGTTTTATAGCTTCCATGTTTTTTCATTGTAATGGAATTATGAATAAAGAGCTTAAGTATTAAAAGCTTTTGATTTAATAACAATAAAGCATAAAAGCTCTATTAGGGGCCGTTCACTTATTACGTTCGCATTTAAGGGGGGAAGAAGGTTTGAAAAATTGTAACAAAATGCAAGGGGGGGGGGGTGTCAAGAAGTATGTAACGTTCTAATTGTCGTCTGTCTTTTAAAAAAGTTCACGAAAAAAATTTGTTCACAAATTCACAACAAAAACCATTTTTATAATTTTTCCACCTTTTTAATGATTTATGAAAAATTATCAAAATAAAAAAAATAAATATTATTTATTTTAATATTATTATTATTAATTATGAAAGTTCAGGGGGGGGTGGGGGGGGGGGGTTGTGAGTTGTAACATATTGTAACAAGGGGGGAGGGGGGTGAAAAATGTCGTATTTTTGCGTAACGTAATAAGTGAACGGCCCCTTATAGCAGCGTTGGATTGTTGGCATTGATGTGCTCTTTAGGCAAAATTCAAGGTTACGCATCTCCTAATTCACATAATCTCGATCTTACCCTAGTAACCTAAATCGTCAATGTTATACATAAGGACGAATATGGTTACCAGGATAGATTGAACTAATTTGTAGCTTAACATTCGATTCTATAGTAAAGTGTTCAAGTAGCTCGAGATTAAAAACAAAAGCAATTTGAAAATATTTTTAACACTTCTGCCAACACTGAGAGTTTTAGTGACTTACCTAAACTATAATTAATTGCAAAATCATGTTTAAAATTTTTTAATGTCGATATTCAGTAGACTGAATATATTTTTGAATAAAAAAAGATTTTCAAAAGTTAAACTCTTTTAAAATTTTAATAATTCTAAATTCTTGAGTAATACTCTTGTTCAAAACTTACAACAAAAGGACATCCAAACTTCTCTAGCCAAGAAAATACTCTCTTAAATGCTTCTAAGGAAGACAATAAGCAAGCACCCATGTAACAAATAATTACAACATCTGACCTTTAATTAAACTTTCATTTGCTATGTCAAGTGTTACTTCCATTGCTGACATTCATCTGTTGCTTGACAACAGCTTTTTGTTCAACAGAATGTACTTGTGTCTACTTAGTCTCTGCAGACTTCTTTCATTTTCTTGGAAATGACAATTTAGCAAATTGTAATTTCTAGAACAAATATGAAATTGTTTTGTTTTGAAATAAATGAAAAGTACTTGGATTGAATCAAATGAGTCGCTTTTAGAAATGATTCTACATATATGAAAAAATATGAAGTTGGCAAATGTTTGAGAAATAATAAATTTGAAGAGCCTACAAAATAAAAAATTTAATAAAAGAGGAAATTTAAAGCACATGTCATAAGAAAAAAAACAACTTCTTCAATTATCCTAATACATTCACAAACAGCTATAGCAAAACAAGCAGAAAACATAAAAAAATAACTTTTTCTGAAAAAGTCATTAAGATTATATTTTGATTTAATGTCACAAAAATCCTTAAGCCTTTCTTCTTGAATTGCACACGTGCTAGAATTGAGTTTCATAATTCATCTGAGAAAATGTTTATTTCCTTATGTGCTTGTGTAATGATAAAATCAGTAGGTTACTAAATCACTAGTAAGAGTAATAGGAAAGTCAACAAAAATTTAATTAAAGGTGACCTGCAGTGTTATTGATTAAAAGAGCTTAATGATTACAAGGTCAAGATCTTTAAGAATAATGTGCAATTAACTTGAATTTAACAATATATGAATCAATATAGACATCAGCTAGTTCCTAAACATTGTCGCCTGGCACTATCCTCTTAGGAATTCAGTTAAAAGCAACACAATTTTTTGCAATAGAAAAACCTTAAAAAATTCAAATTAATTTCCATTTTCCACCAACCGAAGCATCAATTAAAAGTCCCATGCAACTTCATCAATGATTTTATGTCCTAAATGTTTTACCATGTCATTCACTCGTTCATTCATTATTCATGCTTTTTGTTTTAAAAAGGGGCTTGTTTACTTATGACGTCAATGACTCTAAAATACCTCCCCCTACCTCACCTGGCTTTAAAATATATATATTTTTTAAAAATTTTACAATAACAAAATTCAAAACTTCCATTATAAAATATAGACATCATAACTGAATGATCCCCCAAAAAAAGGATGAAAGATATTTACCGTCCATATGTAAAACATGAAGCGTGATACTTGCACGAATATCAATTGATGTGGAGCATGAATACAATCCAGTATCTGTCGTTGTCACATTTTTCATCATTAAATGCGATATGGAAGCTCTATCATCGTGTTCTGTTATTATAAAAAAGCCCCTGGGCGAATGATGATTAATTTCCTGTGTAAAAATGCGTAAAATGGATCAGAAATGAAAATGAAAAGATTTTTTTTTGGTTAATCATTCTGTGTAATTAATTAATTTGGATATGATACAAGGTTTTTCTTTCAGTAAGAAGATTTTTAATTTGATTTCAATGAGATAAATGAAAAATGATCAAAAGAACGAAAACTTGATAAAATCTTTTGTCAATTCCTCAAAATTTGTTGTGAATTTAATTCTTTTTATTTTGTTTGCCTGAAAAGAGTCAGTGAGATTTCCTGTCCCTATGGCAACTTATTTTAAAGGAAATTTCCGTGCCGTTACTTCAACAATAAAGATCATGAAGTCATACAATCCCTTGAGGAAAATTTTGTTGCTAAAAGCTTTTCCATGAAATTAATTTAATATTTTTTTTGTTTAAGATTTTAAGGCTGTTTTTGTTAACTTTATGCCTCGAAGTTGATTCTTGGTTCGGTTGAATCTTGTATTTACATTGAGCATTGAATATATAATGATTTGTAGGAAATTATTGATATTAAGCTTCAATATTTATCTAAGAATTTGTTGAGAATCATTCAAGCTGCTTGGTGATTTTTGTTTGCATTTCTTAGAATATGCTTGAAGAGGATGAAGTGATTTAAACTTTGTTTTCATGTCCTAAGCAAGAGTGAGCAACTTTTGATCATTGTTGATCATATTTGATAACTTTGATCTATTCAGCACTCTTGATTCCAATGTCTAGAGCGAGTGTCTTACTTAAAACCATTAATGATAAGAATCAAAGTCAATAATCCTAATTATCATCCGAAAAAAAATCTCCAAAAATCCCAAGTTACCATCCCTTGATCATTCATCCACCAAAACACTTACCTGATTGTTGTACGACCATCTCAGAGAATATCTTTTATCGTCTCCATTCAGCATTTGCTTAATGTAGCATGTTAAATTTAAATTTGATCCTACTTCAGTGAACATTTCATTGCCTTCGAGTATCGATAGCTGTGGATCTGTGTGGCATTTTTATTTCGCATGTTTAACAAAACAGCCACCCCCGGAGTAAAGGAGCAGGAAATGGAAAAAGAAAGAAAAGAATAAGGCACGGAAAAGTGTGATTAAAAGTCAATTTTTCTTCCGTGCCAATTTCATTTGGAAATAAGCACAGCGAAATAAGAAGAAGAAAAAATCTCACCGATAACTTTTAAATAAATCATTCGACCAACAGGCTGTGCTGTTGAAATTCCAATCTGACATTCGAAAAGGCCTTCATCTTCTTTTCTCACGCGACGTATCTATTAAATGAGATGAGATTTCGTCTGTTTAGATTTTTTTTTCTGGGCTTTCAGAGGGGATGAATGATGAGAATAATTGGAACGGAAGATGAGAATTAAGTAGAAATTGTCAATTGAGAATTCGATGAGATTAATAGAACCTATAAATAATCGTAATCGTCATATGGCGAGGGAAAAAACAAAAAAAAAGTGAAAAGTTTTGGATTTTTTGTCCTGTTCTGATTCCAGTGATTTATTGCTTTAATAAAGTCACTTTAATGGAGTCAAAATCTGAATTGCTGTCCATATTTTTTTGTTCTTGTTTTTTTCTCACAACATGCCAAAGAAGCTTGGCAATAATCCTGATTACTTTCTACCTGGCTTATTTCGATGACAGAATTTGGCAAATGAATGTTAATTAATTGAGACTTGAGAATGTTTTCTGGGAAATAATTATATACTTTGTCAATTAGGCTATTAGTGGATGATTGGTTTTTGGACAATGTAATAAAAATTTAAGATACCAGAGGCGTAGCTAGAGTTTCTCGGGGAGTGTAAGTATTGTTCGTATTAAGTCTCATGTTGTTTTCTTTGTTCATGTCAATTTCGGAAATGGTTAATTATAGGGGCTGCCACCCTATAAGCAAGAAGGTATGTACTTGACATTTGGTCAGCTTCTGAGTCAGACTTCAGAATCCCCTTGTTTAATGTCTAGCGCTTCTAATTAAAAACTTGAATTCCTTGCTGTAGATTGAGGAACCGATCAGATGTTACGCCTCCTTAAAAACTCTTTAAAGCGATTGAAACCTTAGATTTGCGATTGAAATTTTTAAAAATTTCTTGACAACATTTTGCTCAGATTTCATTAAAAAAAACTTGAAACTCAGCTTAGTCTTCATTCCATTTTAATACAGGATTCAAACACGAAAGCAAGGAAATAAGATAGCTTTTCACTTCAGAATTTTAAACACAATTTTTAAAAAAAATTCTCGAATTTTCATTTGAAAATGAAACTTGAGTTCTTCTTGTTATTGCTCTTATTTTCACAGAGCTTTCGGTACTTAATGCTATATAGGAAGGGTAATATTATTACTTCATTGAAAAACTTTCTTGTTCTGTAAACATTTTATCCTCATTGAAAGGCAAACCATAATTTTCCTCAATGGTTGCACGAAAGTATATAAACATTATCTTAACTCTTTTTATAATGATTGTTTTAAGTTTTAAGAATGATATATGATTCGTAAAAATAGCCATTAAGCTATTGTTTCTATTGCATTAACTTATTTGTATGCTTTCTGTGGAGTTACATTTTTTTATTATCTTAAATTATTTTCTCGAACAAAATTCAGTATTTGGAAGCTTCAATTTGCATCTTTTACAACCAAGCTTTGTAGCCATCCCATACACATTACGTTTACCCCTTCATAGAAATTTATCTGTCATGAATAACAGTCAATTCCCACATGATTGCACAATATAGAACCAAAACTGCCTACATAAAACTTCGGGATTGTTTAAATTGACATGAATTGAAATGGAAACAAAAACTGTTTTAATACTTTTGTAAATAGATCGTTTGCATAGATGCTTTGTTTATATTTTTGGTTTAGAAACAATTTCACGGAGTTGACAACATGATTGCAGTTTTTGTTTTAATTATAGAAAGGTAGAGTAAGCCACAAGCTGAGGCAAGGGGGTCCAATGGGGTCCAAAACTCACTTAACTTTTAAAAACTTACACCCCCAACCAGACAAAGTCTCCCAAGCTCAATCCTCGAAAATCTCTAATCTCCCTCCTCCATACGTCCATAACAGGGGCGTAGCCAGAAAATTTTTAAGGGGGGGGGGCCCATTTTCGAAAATTAAAAACCCGTTATTTTGTATCCTTAAATCTATATTCATTCTTCATAAGTTTAAATATTTAATTCATTATTCATACATTAAATTTAATTTTTCGTGCTGATTTTGACATTTCTTTCATCACTTCCTCTACATTAACTGGTTCTTCTCTATAAATACTTAATAAAACAATTATCAGATTTTCGTAGGGGGGGCCCGGGCCCCCTATGCCCCCCCCCCCCCCCTGGCTACGCCACTGGTCCATAATGTATAGAAATATTTTAAAGCGTAGCTTTCTTTCGTGCTATAAATCTTATTAAGACAAAAAATAAACACCGAAAAATGTCTCAGACGAAAAACAAGAATCCTTTCATTATCATCATTAACAATAATAGCATTAATCCTACAGAACTTTGCACTGCTGCCAAACAACAGAAATATAACAAAAAACAAGGAAATAAAGAACAAAATACAAAACAAACAGAAAATAAAAATCTTTGCCAAAAAAAATCATTTTTTCGAGCCTCACTTATCGTAATCTGTTATTTCATCTCATCCACCTTACCGTTGCTTACCTTCAATGTCCAAGTATCATTATGTGAATTGTGAAAAATCTGATATCGAGGATCCTGTGTGTACTTGAATATTCCCACACTCAGCAAATTAATGTCATTATGTCTAATCCAACTTATCGAATTGTTTCCCAAATTTCTCACAACACAAACCATATAGGCACTCTCTCCCTGCATTACGGTTATATTTGTGGATATTGTCGGATCGTTAAGATCAAAATATGGTTGTCGGTGTCTATCTATTATTGTTGTTGCGTCATTGTGGACTTTGTTCAATTGACTACTCTGTATTTGATGCTCATTATTTGTCAGATTATGTTTTATTGTCGTAATTGATGCCATTCCCAGTTGTAGGCATGCTGTGCCTATGAGAATATAAACATGTATGTATAGACTGATTATATCTTGTGTCTACAAAATCCGAAAATTGAAAGAGAGATTTACGGGAGGTTAAAGAAGATGAAATTGCATGATTTCGTAAATGTCGTTGACTGTGTCTTATATTTCATCTAAATTATTTTCACGAGATTTTCAATGTCACTTCTTCTTATGTGACACTTAATTCCCTAATTTATGTATTCTCGGGTTATGGTGAATTGCCTGACTTCTTTTCATGAATATGTATTGTTCTTAAGGGAGAATTAAATGTACAGTAGGAAACTTTTTGTGAAAAAAAAAAATAAAATTCAGAACAATAACAAAACCAGACATTTTCTTCATTTCTGGTTAGAATAAAAGAACAAGTTTGGATGCTTCATTGAGTAGTTTTTGGACATTGCTTGCATTTTTGTTAAAAACTTAGGTGAGGAGCTATCCCGAATGGCACAAGTCAGTTAATCGATCAGAAATCTGGCACCAAGCAGGTGTGACTCTGGCATAGTGCTGGATTTAAATTGAAGCCAGCACCATGCTAGAGTCATTTTAGCTTGGCGCTGGATTTCTATTCGGTTAAATCACTTGTGCTACTCGGGTATTGAAAGAAATATAGCAAGAAGAGCGGAGGCTTTCGGTTGAAAAAAAATCAGATTCCTCTTGAGTGATCCCCTTCCTTCCCAATACCTCGAAATTTTTTTAAGGAAAACTTGAAAGCCAGCAATTAAGTATACAATACTAAAAATTCAAAAATCCGAGACTGCCACTCTTCTCAAATTCGAAACACTTTCAGTCTACGCCCCTGCCAATGCCATACTAATCTTAACCCAAACTGATCAAATCATTGCACAACTTCTCAAAAAAAATAATATAATATTCTAGCAAAATTTTTAAACAATATAAAAGAAAGAAAAGAGAAGTATAGCAAGATTATGTTTATTCCAAGTATGAAATATAATTTAGTAACATCTTGAATGGCCCTTTTGTGCTACACTTGTCTTATACAAAAGAATAAGATAGAGAATGTTTCGTACCACAAAACTGTTTGACACTTTTTGCAATTTTCTAATTTATTATCCGCTTACTTATTTTTGGGTCTCTGACTGTACATTTCCCAAACAAAAGCAGAAATTTCTTATAAACTTAAAAGTAAAGTGAAATAATGACAAAATCTTATCTCATACACAATGTCTTGTGTCCCCTCCGAATACTTTAATGTCTCTTCTGCACGACCATATTTTCGGGTTTTTTTTTTCATTTCAATTTTCTTTGCGTCTTGAGTTTTGTGTAAATTATGTTGTGCTACTCTCATTTCTCGTTTTACAGTCCTAATCGTGTATAATTTATATCACCGCTTAAACGCTTGTTAGAGATGGAATTAGGGAAGTATTACAATTAAGTCACTGGGATTTATCTCGATTTCTTGAGCTTAAAGTCATATTTAAAGATTTTTTGTTTCGTTTTGTCTTGACATTGTCAGTTTTAATTTTCTGTACATTTCAAATTTTTTAGGCTGGAAAATGTGATGAGAAAAATATTTTTTTCTGGTATTCTTTTTGTGCTTGAGTCTTTTTTTTGTTTTCTAGATAAAAGAATGTGAAGAAAGAACAAGTTCAAAGGGAAGAATCCTTTTTAAAAAAAATTCTTGAATTTAGATGATAATTAATTTTTTTAAAAAATAAATTACACAGTAAGTGCACTGAGTGGAAATAAATTGCGGGTGGGGCGGGTTCACAATTAAGTGAGATTTAATTTTCCTATGAACTCGTTTTAATGTTGAGTGGCTGATGGCAACAGAAGTTAGAAAATGCTGATCAGTACTGTGGCATGGCGTTGAGAGTTTTATCAAGGTTGCGATGAATCAAATTGAAGTGAAGTTCCTTAACAGAGATGCTGTGATGTTATTTAATTAGGATTTTTGTGGGTTTGATGTTTCAACTAGATTTACCAAATTTCAGAAAAACAAGAAAGTAAAAGAAGGAGGCAGAATTTGAATTTTAGCACTTTATTTTTTCTAATTTTAATTATGCAATTTCGGGTAGAATTAAGAACAAAAGCATCCTAAATAGAACCACAAACTATTTTGTTTGAATTTTTTGATTTAAAAAACTTCACTTCCGTCTACAAATTACTCATTAAAATTTGTAAATCTAACACTTTTAAGTTAACAACAATTTTATTGGCACACTAAATTACTGCTAATATTCAAGTCATCAATAAATGAAGGCAAATTTAATTATGTCAATTATGATTCTTCTTCACTAAATCAACAATTTCAAACTTCATAAAATTCACCATAAAACAAAAAAGTAAAATAAATTTTCATTTCCAACTTACACAAAATAATTTGAAGAAATTCAACAAAATTTATGTTCATTGTGTCTTTATTTTCTCATTCAACTTTTTACATCACTAGCATTCTTCTTCATTATTTTCTTATTTAATAAAATTTATAGCCTCACGACTATTACAAAAACTTCTAGTTTGATTTGACTCTATCAAATTTAATTACAATCTTCAAGCTTAAAATTCACATCGACATCAATAAAAAAAAATTAATTTAATTGCAGCGAAACAATTAATTTCCAGCATATTCATAGAACGTTGTAATTAAATATTCAGTAAACGTTTTACACTTTCATCAACTTAGGAAGAGAGAAAAAAATTTTAATAACAAAAATCTTTCCGTTCCAGGTAAATTGTGCGTTACATGATACACCACATTGAATGTTCGCACAGGGTTTATATTTGAGGCACACATATATAAGGATGTATACAAAATTAATTGATAATTATACCACTTAACCTCATCGCGTTTGTGCTATTAAATCAACATCATCCCATGAATGTCTAAACAGAAACTAAATTGTGTGTGATGAAGAAAATTTGTGATGATACTCGAAGATATTTTATGCTATATTTATAGACATGTGTGATGAAATGGGTTTTGTAATGTCGTGCTGTCCCAAGTTGATAATTGGTACACAGATTGGGAACTTCTCTGATCGGCAAACATTGAAATGGAAGCATGCAAGTTTGGAAGTACTTCCAACTGGATGCCAAGTGGTTGCCACGAGGATCCTCGTTTTTGTGATGGTGTTTTTTGATTTTTAAGAAGGAATCGATTAGAAAAGTCATTTTTTATCCGAAAAGGATGATCTCGGGATCTCTGACCACTTGTTGAGACTCATTATCATTTAAAAAATGGTTCTCTTCCCAGAACAGCTCCAATTTTAAGCAGGAGATAATTAATTGCAATAAAGTAAAATTCTCACACATCTTCTGAAATCGTGTGTTCGATTCCAACCCAACAAAGCATCATCAGACTTCTTGAGGAAATTTATCCAACATTAAAATGATTTTCAATGCGTAGTAACTTCTAAAGAACCTCCTTAACATCTTTCAACTTGCTTTATTTAACGACAAATTCATCTGAAACAGAACGAAAAAAAAAGATTGACTCGAAAATTTTCCTCGCATAAGAAAAAGAAAAGAAAATAAAAATCTCATTTTCGGTTGATTTCATTTTCATTTTTATGTATGTTTATATGTTTGTTTGTATTTAAATTTCTAACAGAAGCGACGTTGATTTTCATTTTATGAGATGCGTTTGAAGATGACGAAAATTATCATTATTTTCTATTATTTTTCTTCTTTGAATTTTAATGATGATTGATGTCTTCTTCTCATCATCATGTTAAGAACTGTCTCTTCCCTCCCATGAGTCTTGTTTTTTCTTCCTTTTCAATTCTTTTTATCTATTGTCATTTCGAGAAATGTCTCGTCGAAGCCAAAAAGACTTTAATACAATGATAATAGAGAGAAAAAATGCTCCTGTTCATCATGTTTATAATGTTCAGCATGAGAGTTAGGGGGAAATATTCCATCTGCATAAATTATTCAATGTAATATTCAGTCATCTCAGCACAAAAAGATAATATAAAGCATAAAAATATATTTTTTTCTTTCTGATGATGAAAATGTCTTTTTCTTTCCTTATGATCCTCATCATAATATGAGGTATCTTTAACTCAGTTCATCTTTAAACGGAGAAGACAATCAACATCAACGTGATAATAATGGGAAAGTAGACACTCTGATTCCATAGTCATTTTGTTGATGTATTTGTCATAAAAGTAAGTGTCTTTATGTTTATTTTGGCTTAATGGATGAGTTATGAAGATGGGGTATTATGATAATCTGCAGTAGTTTATTCTAATAATAGAAAATGATGACTCATGCAGATGGAGATGTAAGATTTATCAGCAAAATGTTGATTTATAGCATATTTGGGCAGGGGGGGGGGGGGGTCCTTAAGATTTTCTTAAGAAAAAAGTATGTCGATTCAAAGGTTTCCTCTCCTTAAAAATCATTATTGACAGCTCAAAACCTTTATGACAAGGGGCATTAAACAACCAATATCTTAAAGACTTTATCAAATGGTCCCTCATAAAATTTCCAAAACCCCTCAAAATGCGCTCCAGTAATTTAAAAAAATCCCACGATATTCCAACTTGATTTCCTTTTTCAAAATAATTTCAATTTTAATCTAATCTCATAACTTTTTGATATAATTCCATCAATTTTTTTCAGACGACATTGCGAGAAATTCCATTAAATTTCATGAATATAAGACCACCATAAAAACAAAAATCTTACAAGTAAGAAACGAAAGGTCGGACCATGAAAATTTTATGATGTCGAATCAGATGAATTAATCTGTGTGATGAATAAATAGAAGCCAAAAAAGGGAGAGAAAAGAAAAATTATTCCTGAGGCATTGCACTTGACATAAAGGCCGTAATAAAAAAAGATGATCATGAATGTGTTGAAGCGACATGATGTCAAGAGTGGATATATATATATATATATATATATTATATAAAGTGTCAGTATCAGTGTGAAACCTTCGATAACCTTAGGGGAATTAATTATCGAATGCCAAGTTTAATTTACGTGACATATGTGCTAAAATATATTTTTTTCATTTACTTCTTGTGAATTTGTTGCTTTGTTGATTTATTTAGTTGGATATAAGAGGAAATGAAGCACCTGAGAACATTTAAAAAATTAGGTTAATGGTGTGAATAGATTGGCAGTTGCTTGTTTAAATGAAATGTGTTTTATCGGATGCAGTGCTGAGCGACAAAAAGGAAACCATGTCAGCCTTATGAAATCAGCTAAGGCTTTCAATTTGCTAAAGTACAACAAAAAGCTTGATGCGAATTAAAAACTACATTTAAGAATGAACTTACACATCGACTCAAGCAGATGACTACATTTTAAAGAAATAATTCACAAGAAACTGAATTCGATAGCATCCTATACTCCAGGACATTGCAATTTCTGCTAAATTGCCTACTTGTTACTTCCAATAATTCAGACAAATTATGCTCCCACTGAAAAATCTATAAAGATTGTATTTCATGTAGCCTGAAAGCATAGAAAAGTTTTTTTTTGACAACTTGTACAACAAGTCCTATGAAAAATTTTGTCGAACCATAACATGAGCAGCAAAAGTGCCTTAAATACCCAATTTCTTTCGTTCACAGAAGAAGTAAATGCGCTAGAAAAGAAAAATGACATAAATTTAATCCTATTTCGTTACAAAAGCTTAATGACAATTGTAAAAATCGTCTTTTTTTTGCTTTCTTGAAAAAAAAATTTTTTTCTTTATTCTCAAATCATCATAAATATTTCTTACTGAGGTATTGTTATGCTCCTCGTGGGGACTTTTTTTATGAGATGTATTCTCACAAAAATTAATTGTGATTGTGAGCATCGCCTTTTCTATGTCGTAATATATTCTTTTTTGTTGTTGTACATTTAATGATCCAAGGAATGTGTTCTGTTTTCATGTGGTTGCATGATGATATTATTTTCAAGCAAGTAGCTGCTTTGTTTTTGCTGCTTTCTTTCTTAGTAGAAATGATACTTTATTGCAAATTGCTGCTTTCACTTGTTCTTTAGAACATGTTGACAAATTTATGGAAAAATACTTTCTAATGTTGCCGCTTGTTTATTTAGTTTTTATGGAAATTCGGATGAAGTATTAAGCTTGAGACATTTAAACATAATATATTAAGAAAGAATCTTCTTTTAAAACTCATCCTCTGATAGGAATCGAACTCACGTCTTCACAAAAATGGTTTTTGCTAGCAAATTCGCCCACATATAGCTAAAAGCAACAGACTCTGTTGCGATTAGATACTGCAGTTATCCAGTGCCATACTTTGACCATGAGATGACTTCTTAAAATGTCATCTGACTCTGTTAAATCTAAAATGAGCACCAAAATCATTGTGATTTCAATCACATACAAATTCTTTCATATTTATGCCAAAAAAACACAGAAAAAATATTTTAAAGTTGAAGAAATTTCTCGTTTTCAAATTGTCAATTGAAGACTTTAATCCTTTTGTAATTTATATGCCAAATTCCATTCTAAACGACACTCAAATATTCCTATATATTATTCTGTTTTTATATGTTACTGTGTAGAATTGAATGCGCAGAATATCACGCGGTGATAGGTATTTGTTTTCTATATTCAGATTAAGTAGATTTTCGCGACATTTTTGAATGAATAATTTATCAGTTTGGTATGGAATTTTGGGGTGTGAAAAATTCTATCTGGAAATTGAAAATATTTTACCAAAAATTTAATCAAAAAAAAATAATTTATTAAACGTTGAAAATTAATCATAAGCATAATAGAATAGGTAGGCAGACTTAATCATGATACAAAATTGATACTTTTATATTCATGCACCTCTCAACACGAGCAATGAAATCTCGCTCGAAAGTATTGAATTATTCATCCAAACTGACTCTTGATTTCCTTCCACATAAAATAAAAATAAAGCACGAGTCCCACTAGCATAAAAGAAATACATCAACAAGGAATTAAACCAAAAGAAGCAGAAACTGTAAGAAGAAGACATGCATGTGTGCTAAAATTATTACATAAAGAAGATTAGATGAACGAGAGCTGCTGAAGCAGATATTTACCATTGTTACAATCACCATTTCACAATCGAGGAAATATTTTTAGTGTTTTTTGTATATTTCGTAAAATGTATGCCGTACAATGCCATAAATTTCCAGACGCCGACAAACGAGTAAAATTTATTTTAACATGTAGCAATAGCGTTGGTTGTTCGGGGTTTTAAAAACACATAAATCTCGGGGGCAGCCCTTGATGCCTCTTAATCCTTTATAATAACGTTTAAATGTACCATAAAATCATTTACAGTTTTTCATTTTCATTTTCATTTTAAAAATATTATTTCTTTCTTAATTTCGTAGATTTTATCATATTGTGGATGAGTGTATACACCCAAAATGTGTTATAATGAAATAAATACTGTTGGAGATCAAAAGGTTAAGATGAGTGTTCAAAATATTAAAATTTTAATGAAGATGAGACTAGCTTTGACCTTAGTGCTGCTGATTTAATGATAATCTCAAGATAATCTTGGATAAAAGTCATCAAGCTAATGTAAATCAATGAACGTGGATCAAATTCGTAATTTAAGATCTGATTAATGATCATTTTGATCTAAGGTTGGATTCTAGAACTTTCTAAAGCAACTTAACCTAAAATTTAAAATTGATCTACAACACTTTGGGATAAAAACTAATTTCGATTTCGACTATAGAAGGATACACCGACTAGCTTTAGAAACCGGACTTTGAACAAAACATTCTCGATTCTGTGCTAATTCACTAGCAAAAATTAGCAATACATTTAGCTAAGATAGCTAATTGATCGCAAATTAAATTCTTTTAAAGATTTCAAATCCTTTACCGCAATTTTTAAAAATATAGATGTTAACTTACCGACAGACTATGTCAAACTAAAATTAGCCAATATTTAATCAAATTTACGCTACTGGTCAGCACAAGTCAAACAAAAAAGGTGCGAAAACTAAAATGCACTAATCGATCAGTGGCAATTAGTTGCTCAAAACTATTTGTGATATTACCAAAGCTACTGTATAAAATTATCATACCTGCCGCCTGTACGACGAGTCATTGAAATAAATTGCACCTTAAGTTTAATAATTTAATTAACAAATTTTTGTCAAAATCGGTTACGACTAAATCCAAATTAAACAAAATTCACTTTTAAAGTCATTGCATCTCTTGTTTGCTCTTCTCTTTCTTACGGTCTTGTATAGACCAAAATATCACACAAATTATTTGTGTCAATAAATCAATTCGGTATAAAAATTCGTGAGAAATTCAAGTTCAGTATCAGTTCCATTTAGCTTGTTCAGCCAAAAAGTATACAAAAAAGATTCAAAATGTTCAGATTCTTTGTAGCCACAACACTTCTAGTCGCATACGTTTATGCCTTACCACAGCAAGCAGCCCAGCCAGCAAGTGCTGATGGCGCAGCTACATTACTTTCAAGCACATTTGCTGATGATGGCGCAGGAAATTTCAACTTTGCATTTGAGACAAGCAATGGAATTAAGGAACAAGCACAAGGACAGTTGAAAGATGTTCAAGTCCCAGTATTTGACACAAATGGACAAAAGACTGGTGATCAACCTGGCAAAGCTGAAGTTCAAACTGGTCAATTCTCATACACAGCTCCTGATGGCACACCAATTACAGTTCAATGGGTTGCTGATGAAGTAAGAAATAAGTTTTATTTATTTTTCAAACAATTTCTTAAATTTTCATTAATATTCACAATTTAGAATGGATTCCAACCAAAAGGTGATCACTTACCAGTTGCACCAGCAGTACCAGCCAAGTAAAAAATAATGAAACAAGAATAACAATATGGCAATTCTTATATATGACACCAAAAACTATGTGAATAATCTTTATTTAGTCAGTACTTTTTATAAACTCTTATAATCAAAGAGAATCAATAAATATTGTTCAGCAACTGCACAAAGCGTGCGAAAATGTTAAAAATTATTGGAACTTGTTCCTTAATAGTCGTTTTAAAATTCATAAGATGATTTCCAGTGCCTATAATAGGTTCCCATTTAGTCAAACTTAAATGTTAAAATTCATATAATAAATATACTGAATGTCACTTTAATTATGACATAAAACGTGTGCTCATGGATTACCATAGTGCTAAATACTATTTATACAGTTGCGCGTTCCAAAATAAATAAGAGGATGCATTGTTTGTTGAGCTACTGTATAAGAGACATTTCATAATGTAATCATAAGAAATAAACACTCACCTGAATTAATAAACTGTTTCCAATTCTTGATTATATTTTTGGAATCCAAAAGAAATATCAGCTTCAAGACAGTATATTAGGGTCCTTCTAATTGTGGCTTGATTCTAATATGCAGGCCTTGCGTCAATCCTACATAGCCTGAATCTCAAAATGTGCCACTTAGAAAGAAAAAGTCATATCAACAGCAGCATTAAATCCAATAAGACCATAACATTGCCCACTGACACAAAAAAATCCATTATATCTATGAATGTAAATATTTTGATGAATTTTAAATCATATTAGCGATTAAAATACCATGACAATGCCAACAAGCGTTAATATAATTCAAATATTATTGCTTTGGCATCACACTTATGGAGGATTTGGCTATTTTTGACAACAAACATCCGTATTAATAATATTAGACATTCCATTGATTAAATGACGCTAAAATGCCATTTTTGCGTATTTGACACATTTGGATGACTTCCTGGTAAAGTGTTAAAAAGTTGAAGATTTTTTTAAATGTCAAGGTAGTCAAACTTGATTCTAGTAAATATTTTAAGACACCAACATAAAGTCCACGTACAGTAATCATAATTGATCATATCATAAGATCAGCTTGTTGTATGAAAATCACTATGGCATTAGGATTTATGGATGATATACATCCATAAAATTATTGTGCTATTCCACTAATATTTCAAATGACAAGAAAGAGTAAGAACGCGCGAGTCAGATAATTATTTTACACACTGATTAATAATGATTCGTGTTGTGTTGTTTGCCACATGTTCAACATGAACTTCTCCTTCGTAAGAGTTGAGATATTCTTGCGTTGATATTGCTTATGGCACATAAATTATATTAATTGCTACATCTACATGCATTAATTATAACTTTTTAATTTTAATTTGAAAAATCTGAAAATAAGAAAAATTTGAGTTGAAATTCTTTTTTTCTCTTGTTTGTGTTTTAAGAAAACAATTTTTTAAATGACAACATTTTCTTGTTCACTGATGAAGTAGATTATAGTCATGTGTGTCAAAAAGACACTTTGAGATAAATTGTATTTTTATAAGAAATGAGATTAAATTATTGGAAGATTTTCGAGAAGAAAACTTTGTAATCAATTTAGATTTAATCTAAGAATTAAATTGAGGATTAAATGGATTTATTTGAATGAACATTAATTCAATCTGCATCGAATAAAGCTTGTTCCTGAGAAAATTATTTTAATGCATTTGCATTTAAAATCCTTGCAGATGAAACGAGACTTTTTACTCATGACTAGGCAAATCGACTGATTAATCAATAGGCAAGCTAGCACCAACCTACTACTCATTTTGCATGAGAAGTCCAGAGTCAAAACGGTCATGGCAAAGGGGAGGGGGCTGTTTAGGTGCCATTAGAAATTTTTTGAATCTTATGATTTACCAATCTTGCTACAATCCTATGTCTTCAGCTCATCAAATTTACAACAGACTTCAAATGGCTTTGCCGCTAAGCCAATTCTTTAATGCAGAATTTATTTTCAAAATTACAAAAAATATACACAATGCGTCACGACTCTAGAAAACTCGTGCATGATATTAAAAAATCATTTTAAAAACGTTCGTTTCATCTCAAATTTCTAAAGAATTTCCAGAACCCAAATATTAAGAACGCAAAATTTCGTGACAAAATCCATCCCCATCTTAAAAATTTCAAGTTCTACAAAGTTTATTCTCGAAAAATATGATACCTTTGAAGACAAAAGGAACATTCTCGTCCCAATATCAATTACACTTAAAGATTACAATGCCTTTTGTAAAATAATGAAGGATTTATCGTCATTATAGATAATAGGTTAAAAGGCATAAAACGTGTGAAATGAAGACGTAAAGAGCGTGGAATGAAACCTTTTTTGCTCTTAACGAGAACATTTAGATGAAATTTGAGAAAATTTGTATTTCTTGAGAATTTTATTTTTGTGAGATAATTTTCTTAGGGGCTGTTCACTTATTACGTAACGCGAAAAAATTACTTCTTAGACCCCCCCCCCCCTCGTAACAAAATTTGTATGAAAAAAAAAATTTCCTTGTTTGAATCGTAACAAAATCTTAGACCCCCCCCCCCTCCCCCTAAAAGCGTTACGTAATAAGTGAATGGCCCCTTATTGCTAAGGCTAAAAATTTTCGTAGTTTTTTCTCGAATTTCATTGAATTATTCACCAGAGGGATTATCAATCAGCCAATCAAAATTTTAATTTTCTACTCAGGTTATTTCTTCAATTTTATCACCACACTCTGTCAGCACATCCTTTGATGATTTCAATAATTTATTTTTCCTTTGAAATATTTAATATTTGATTACTTTATGTTACCCTCAAGAACAATATTCTCAATTTTCGGATGATATAATTTTAATAATCTCAAAGACACTCGTGGAGGTATGTCATTGAATTTGCATGAGATTATTCCCGAGTGGCAAATATAATTGTGTGGAATGTTGCACGGCTTATTTGTTTAACGTGAGAGATTTGGAACTTAATTGTTTGAAGTTGTTAAACTGATCGCAAAGAACTCATGGAAACTTCCTTATGAATTATTAATTTTTCATTGCTATTTTTCAATTGCAACTGACTCACATATTTTGCCCGGTTCAACAATCAACATTCATTCAAATAAACACATACGTATGCATGCCGAACACACAATTGACATTACCATGAAAATAAGAAATATTTCCTCAAAACTCTCAATTTTCTTCTCATCAATCTTTCAAAATTGTCTTCATCATCTTAATATTTTTCATCTTATCTGATTCTTCGTCTTCTGTAATATCGGCTTGACATCTTAATTTATTGAACAGTCTTCATGTGCATGCTCAGTCAGTCGAGCATTAATAAGAAATCAGATTCCATATGGAGGAATGATTACAAATTTATTCCTACCATTCAAAATCAACACAAACACATATTTTAAGAAGAATATGAAAAGAATTTTATTCATATTCTTGAGAGTGTCACAAACAGACATCTTGTGAGGAAGTAAAATGAATCTCCAATAAAATAAGAAAGTTGAAAAGTTAATGAGATGATTTTTATATTTTTTTTTCTTTATTCATTCATTTAAAAAGAAGGAAAAGAGATGGAAAATGTAAAAGACGAGTAAATTTTTTTTATTAGCTTCAATAATGTGCAGCAGAGGGAAAATGAAAAAGAAACAAAGAATTCTTTGAGATTCATTGAATGTGATCGTCATGAACGCATTCTGATAATTAATATAATGGATTTTGTAAGATGATTCTGAATGCTGTGTTGTGAAATTGAATGACTCTAATTATTGACATAGTTCATTTAAAGATTTAAAAATCATTTAAACAATTATTTTAATTGGGGGCCGTTCACTTATGACGTCCGGGGGGGGGGGGGGGGTCAGCAAGAAAAGAACAATAGAAATTCCTGGAAATCCATTGTTCTTATATGAAAAATGACCGTTAAATTCGGACGTCATAAGTGAACGGCCCCTTGTTAAAAATTAAAATTCTAAAAACAGTGGACAAAATCAAATCAGAAGCATACAAAACATAAAGAATTAAACAGAAAATAAAATGAAAAAAATCAGACATGAAACCGCAATAAATTAAAGCTGAAAAGAAAACAACATAATTTAAACGAAGATTTAACATAAAAATTAGTCAAATTGTCATGCTTATTTACGCTAAAATTAGAATTTAATCTGCCAAAGAGGGAACAGAATTAAGAAATTAAGATGAAATTCCTCAATGCATGAGCAGGAATGTCTTTGACAATGGAATTTTAATTTCTGGTGAAAAATTACGAAACGTAAAAAGACACTCGCGAATTCAATAAATCTCCCATCTATCTAAGAACGAATAGCTTCGTCATGATCTATGATAAATTTCTCTCTTTTTGACTTTTTTTCTTATTATTAAAAACACTAATGAGCCATAAAATAAACTGAAAAAGAAATATTTTGATGGATGAGCTGCCGCTTGTCAAATAAATTTTATTAAAATTTTTGACTTTTCCTTCAACTTTCATCATTCATTTCCCCTCCCCCTCTTTGCCTTATTCTCTCCGAATCACGTTGTTATTCATTCAATGTTCATCACTCTCACGATTAATTTACGACCATATCGCCAACATCCATGACGCGTGTTTGAAATTAAATTTTTTTTTTTTTGCATAAAATTCTTCCGTTTCATTCTGTTTTTAAAATGGAAATGACATTAAAGTAATTATACGCATTATTATAAAGCAAGAAAAACTCTTTTAATTGTTGCTGGGTAAGGGAGCAAGTAAGTTAGTTTTTGAGAAATGATGATAGAGCGCATCTTGATGTTTTTTGAATGTTTGCATCAGAATGTATTCTGAAAGAGTAATTTTAACTAAGATTAAAGCCTTTCTCCTCTTCCTGGGTAACAGGTACCAAATAATGCACAAAACATTGATTTTGCTGCACTAAACCCAAAGAATCTATTCGGTACGGTCCAATACTACTTGTAAGGTTTCCATCCATATTAAAAAATTGAAATTTAACGAATCAGTAACTAAAATTCATCCTCAAGATCCTTAATTTAAAAAAAATCTCACACAGCAAATCCAAAACTGAAATAAAATGAATTGAAAACACGAAATAAATTCACTTTTTCACTGCTTTTTATATTCAAAAAAAATAATGTTCTGCAAAGCAATTAGAAATCTTTCTTTTGGATCACGTAATGAAT